AAGTCGACAAGTTGGTAATGTTATAACCCGTACCTTTGGGGTGATATTAGGGTTCTTAACATGATAAGAGGGCTATGTTATGAGTTATTTTATTTGTATGATAGTCATGTGTTAAGTTTTAAAGTCAAGCGAGTTGTAGAACAAAAATCGATGAAAGTCGTCATAAGTTACGTTCATAGGTTTTACTGAACCTTGGATCTAATATCACTGAGCTTTTTGCCCAATATACTTAGAGTTATGGGGTTATCAAATTGAAGATCTATGAGTCTATTTTCTAACGCATTAAACCGTTTGTCAATACGATATCGGAGTAGAGAGATATATGTATTTTTGCGAGACTGCGTACACTGCATAAGTGACAAGTAGGTGTGTCACCTACTTGCTTAAATGAGAGGACTAAATATGTCCAAAAAGGGGCCAATTCGGGTCGGCCAAAGATCCCTTTTAAGGTATTATTTCCTTCATATATCACACTCATTATAGAGCATAAAAACCAGAGATAAGCCCCTCCAAACCTCTCCCAAAAATTCAACACAAACCCTACTTGATTTTCTCTTCTTTTCAAGTTCTAGTTGGAGGAAAACCTAAGGGTTGAAGAACCAACATAGGAGATGATCTATTCACCAAATAAGGTAAGTATACTTCTCTTTTTCATCCATTTTTTCTGCTGGAAATGTATAGAAATTTGTTCTATAATTGTAAGAACTCACGGGACGGTGATCGGAAGTCGTGAGTTCGAGTTATTCAACTTGTAGTGGACTGTTTTGTGGGTTGTTTCATGTTGTTGTTGGATTGTGTGTTTTTCTACTGTTTTATGGAGTTTTGGAGGATAAATTGTGTGGATAAACACCACATAAATACTGGATGGAGGTCTGGTCGTTCGTCATAACATTTTCGGGTTGTTTGACACTACTATGGTGGTCGTTTTGCGTATGAAGAGATTGGGTTGCGTTGGGCTATTTTGTGATATTTTGTGATGGATATAAGGTTGGAAAATGATGTATATATGTTTTTATTATTATTTTTCTTATGTTATTGGTGTTATCTCGAACTGGGAGGAAGTAAAGATTATAAGGGAGATGCTGCCCGCTTTAATATAAAATAAGCTTGTCGTTCGTTGTGCGATAGTTGTACTTTTCGTAACTTAATGATAGTATTATTATCATTGTTGTAGATTAAGGTACGAAGAGACGATTTCAACATGGTTATTGGAAAGATTGTGATTCGGTATGTTAAGGCTTAACCTTTCCTTCATTTTGGCATGATCTCGTAACTACATGCGTTTGATAACGAGACATAAAGAGAAGTTCGTACTCCTGAATTTATGTACATTATCCTAGTCTCACAAGTTACAGTATTCTCCCTTATCGGAACTTTATATTCAGCTAAGTATTGTCTTCTACCAGTTAAGAGAGTAGAGGGTCTATGTATACAGTATTACTGTATTTTCACCACCATCGAGCTATAATCAGTGGGCAGGCCCCTATTGGGCAACCTCTGATCAGATGGTAAATTATATAACGAGCCTACTATGGCCAAGCGCCTATGAGCAAGCCCAGAATGGCCGAGATACCGAGCCTAGTATGGTCGAGCACTTATGAGCGAGCCTACCACGGCCAAACAGTTACACATACCGAGCCTTATAGGTTCGTACAACTATTTTACTTACTCTATTAAGAGAGTTGAGTCAGTATCAGCAGGTAAGTATATCTTTAGATCATCTTTGACTCCCAGTTACTTTCAATTATTATATTATCAGTATTGTTTCAACTTTCAGTTATTCTATTGTCGTACATACCCAGTACATTATTTCGTACTAACGTCCCTTTTATGGGACGCTGCATTTCATGCATGCGGGTTCAGATAGACAGACGGGTAGACCTCCCCAGTAGGTTTTGTCTGAGTTCAGCTTGATCGGTAAGCTCCACGTCCTTCAGAGTTGCCGGGTCTAGGGTTTTGAGTGCATATTATATATATATATATATATATATATATATATATTATGGGTAGGTCGAGGTCATGTTCCGACCACAGTACATCCATCAGTAGAGGCTTGTAGATATATCATGTCAATCAATGCAGTATGTTGGGCTTGTAGGCCTTGTATGTATATTTTTTTTGGTTTTTAGGTTGTAGTAGTTATGACGGCCTTGTTGGCCCAGCTTTATATTGATGTTCAGTCAGAAATAGTCTCCGTTCAGTTTTATATTTTGTTTCATAAATTGTCTTGCAATGTGACCCTATGGACAAAGTATGACATTGTATGTTCAGACTTCCTCAATCTCAAGTTGGTACGCTCGGTTAAGTGAGGCACCGGGTGCCAGTCTCGCCTCCCCAGGTTTGGGGCATGACAATTGGAATCGGGTTGCACGCCGCAAATATATTTATTGATATTGGGATCAAGTTGCAAGTTGCAACAGTATTTATTGATATTGGGATCGGGTTGAACGCTGCATCAGTGTTTATTGAGATTGGGATCGGGTTGAACGCTGCATCAGTGTTTATTGAGATTGGGATCGGGTTGCACATCACAACGGTATTTGTTAATGATGTTTGGTTATGATCTTGTGCATACTTCGCTATTATTATTTCCCTCGTAGAAATAGTTATGAGGTTATGTCTTATTTTTCATGTCTGTTAACTTGCTCCATAGCTCTCCAATTGATGCTCTTAGCATTATTCGACATATCTCCTGCCTTGTTTTTCCTGCTTATTATCTGCACGGGTACATTGAAAGTCAGTATCTTTAACTTAAAACCTCGTCACTACTTCACTGAGGTTAGTCAAGATACTTACTGAGTACATGGGGTCAGTTGTGCTCATACTACACTTCTGCACCTTGCGTGCAGATCTTGAAGTTGCGCAGCTATGGAAGACGGAGCCTTGCATTGAAGATGTACCTGCGTTCCCGATTCAAGCTACCTCTTTTTTATAGTAGTTTAGGATTCATCTCTGTTTATGTAAACTTCAAGTAAACGTTGTATTTATTCTTCATATCAGTTTGTAAATCTAAATCATAGTGGCTCATGACTTGTACTACCAATCATTGGGTTATTTATAGAAATTCAGTTATTTCACTAATTGTTTCTTATTAATTTCATTAGAATTGTGTTCATTGTTATTTGGCTTACCTAGCGGGTTAGGTTAGGTGCCATCACGACTAGGTGAATTTTGGGTCGTGATAATATTTAATCAAAAATACAAAGTCAACCACAAATTCAACTCGGGACCACACCCTAGAACCCGATAAAAGTCACAAATCCTGATCACCCATTCCAATACGAGTCCAAATATACAAGTTTCATCCAAATTCGGCTCCTAACTAGGGTTCAAATCTCACTTATTCATTGTCACAAAACCCAAATTTTCTCCTTTAGATATCATCAGCCAAAAGCCAAAATCAAGGATAAAATTATCAATAACAATAAAATCTAAGTTAAGGATACTTAACCAATCCAAGTGAGTAAAAATCACCTCAAAAATGGCCCAATCTGAGCACCCAATCTCAAAATATGATAAACTAAAGCCAAACCCTCGATTGTAATATTTTGCCCAGTGGTTTCGCTTCTACGACAAAAGACCCGCTTCTACGAGTTTCACTAAAGTCCCAACCACTCCCACATGTGGAGCACAACTCCGCTTCTACGATCTCATAGGTGCGAACAACCTCCGCTTCTGCGAAATTCCCCATTTCTGCCTGCCTTCGCTTCTGCGATCCAATCTCTACATCTGTGGTCTCATAGATGTGCCAATTCTACGCATTCGCGGACTCTCCAGTCTATAGCCAAATGATCACTTGTCCATTTCTGGGGATCGTACATGCGCACCAAACCTCGCAAGTGCGAAACACCAGTACCAGACTGTCAATCAACCTTAAATTGATCTGCAACCTATCTGCAACACACCCGAGCCCTTTAGGACTCCATTCAATCATACCAACAAGTCTTAATACATCACCCAAACCTATTCAAAGGCTCCAAATACTGTAACTAACATCAAAACCAAGAATCGTGGTTCAAAATCAACCTCTTAAGTTCATATGTCTCCAACTTCAAACCAAGCATCTTATTCAAGCCTAACCAATCTGGAATGAACCCAAACTTTGCACAGGTGTTCCAAATGCTAAAATGGACCTATTTCAATTCTTGAAACAACAATCCAAACCAATAGCCTCAAATTCAACTCCCGAACAAACTTATAAATTTTCTAAACCTTCAAATTTCCAACTTTCGACAATTAGAGCCAAATCAACCTAGGAATTCCAAATCCAAACCAGATTATATGCCTAAAATCATCACACGAACCTATTAGAACTATCAAAATATGAATCAGGGATAGTTTACTCAACATCAACCTTGGTCAACTCTTACAACTTAAGCTTCCAAAATGAGACTAAGTGTCTCAATATACTCCAAAACTGTTACACCCCATGTTTTCATACATGAGAGTATGTCGTAAGTCAATTGATCTAAGCTCAGAAATGAGATCATCTTTGAAAGTACATAAATTAAGTTAATCATGTTACCTTGGAGATTACAAATCTTTAAGATCATGGATAACAAGTATCAAGAGGGTTGAAAGGCTTAGAAGCTAAACAAATTGAAGAAAATAAGTTTCGTCAAAAGTCGATAAGTTAGGAATATTATAACATGTACTTTTGGAGTGATACTAGGGTTCTTAATGTGATAAGGAGGTTATGTTATGAGTTATTTTAGGCTTATGATAGTCGTGTGCTATGTTTTGAAGTCAAGCGAGTTGTGGAACAAAAGTTGGCAAAGGTCATCACAAGTTACATTCATAAATATGCTGAAGATTAGGTCAAATGTAGAGGATCTTTTATCCCAATATACTTGGAATTAAGGTATGATACACTTATAAAATTGAAGATATACAAGTCTAGTTTCTATCGCATTAAACCGTTTGTCGATACGACATTGTAGTAGAGAGATATTTGAGGAAATGTTGTTTTAACTCTAGATCTTTTCATGAAATATAGGACTATAAAGTGCATCGAGATGAGATACACTCGAAGCTGGTACAGATAATGAGGGAAAGGTTGCTGGTCCACCTCCGTGGGTTGCCACAGATTGTTGAGAGTTGGAAGAGGCCAGAAGATAGTGACACACAGCCAAGTCAATTTGCCCGTTCCATTAATAAGGTACAAGCTATAAGTAGTGAGCCTGAGTCTTGCTCCCCATTTTTGTTCCTTTTCTTCCTTGTGTTTGTGTCCTAAAATGAGAAAAGGGATGGGATGAGGGTGGGTTTGTCACACCTGAACCACCTTTAATTGGCATTTAATGGTCGTCCAATGTCAATTTGCGACTTTATTTTCGGGAAATCTAAAATGCTGAAAATGCTCTCGAAAAATATTTAACTGGATCAATAATTAAGCTACATAGTCATACGAGCGTCATTGAGAAAGATACAAGATAGCTTAAGAATCAGATCTTCCAGTCTATCTAACAACACAAAATTGCACCAAAGAATTTCTTCCTTGGACCAAAATGGCCTATCAAATTCTTCTAACTTATGTATCGGTTCTCTCTTTAAGTGCTATCCTATTTCTTTCCTTCCATATATATTAACCATATGAGATCCTGCTTGTATACAGGAGAATTTTCCAATTCTTAATAAAATAATCAACCTTATAAAAAAACGTAGAGGCGCGGTGTGCAATTTGTCATGCTTTACTTCAGCCCTTCTTAATTGTAAAACATGCGGGCTTGCCAAGCGTCAGTTATAATTGACCTGAAATATTAACGACGACAAGTTCGAACCCTTGTTGCTGAGTTTGTCAACTAATTCCAGAGATGATATTTCTCTGATACATGATGCAATGGTTTAACATATGCAAGTATAGAGGATTGGATCTCTTTTGTTGAGATCTATATTTTGGTGTAGGTTCTCTTTGTCTTGGTATACGGCTTGTACACGGGGTTAGTCCCCAATTGTTCATAAAATTATTTACCTTATCAAAAAAAAAATGCAAGTTTGCTCCCATTTTCAATTGTTTCTCTTGATGTTCCCATTTTGGCCTGGAGGTTATGTTTTACTTCGGTTCTCTGTTTAGTTGTTGGATGCAAATTACTTTCTTTTGTTGTTTCCTATGGCAGAGCTTTTTCCAAATTTTATCTGGAACTTGTATCAAACTGATTTGCATTCTTAATCTGTTTGAAGGAAGTTGGCCTTCTTCAACGTGTCTTATCTCGAACCCTGCATGAGTTAGATGTTCAAGCTATTTTCAGGTGAACATTTAAACTTTCTCCTGAATATGTCCGCGGCAGAGCATGAAAGAGCTTTGTCTTTTTGGGGAACTTGAATCAATTCTTGTTGCAGCATCAATGTTCTTTGCTTTCTTCAATTTTCAACTGTAATATATTTATTTGCTTAACACCCCATACCTTTAGGCTTTAGTTTTATCTTTGTATCTGATATATTTCCTCCGTCCCATTTTACGTGTTGATGTTTGACTGGGCACGATGTTTAGGAATGATAAAGATTTTTGAAACTTATGGTCTAAAACAAGCCATAGATATTTGTGTTTGTATAAATGATCTCATTAAGGATAAAATGGGAAGTTTAGAGTTCAATTGTTTCCAAGGATAGAAAAGTGTCATTCTTTTTGAGACAAAACTAAAAAGGAAAGAGTATCACCTAAAATGGGACATAGGCAGTAACTCTTTTTGATGTCTTACATTGTTGTTGCTATTATTATATTTGTTGCTATGATTATTATTATTATATTTTGTTTGTTATTATTATTATTTTTATTATATTTGTTGTTATTATCATTTGTTTTATAAGATAAATAATTTCATTGATGTGATCATCATTTTATGTCATAATGATCATCATTTTATTTCATAAGGTTGTCATTGTTTTTGTATCATTGGGAATACTGTACTTGTATATTGGGTGTTGGGATGAAATAATTTTTCTGTTATAACCCTTGCTTTAATTAACATGTGGTATATTAGTTCTTGCTTTTTTTGGTCCGCTAAAATGAATGTGATACTTGCAGGCAAGTGGTTGCTATCTTCCATTCTCAAATTTCAGAAGCATTTTTGCACTTGGATATTAGCATTCCACAAGCTAAAAAAAGGTATGGCTTCGTTTTAGTGTATAATATGTGAACATATTTTGCTCATTTACATAATGTACGGCAGTATCATTCGATGAGTTGTTATTTTCTTTTCCGAAGAGCTAATTTATTCATTGTTTTCAACTTGCCTTAGTTCTTAGTTGTCTTATCAAAATAACTAGTTCCTAGAATGCCTACATAATGTACTGTATTACATGAAAGTTCTTTAACCTAAGATACATCATACAAGGGGCGAGTAAGAGCACCAGAGCATCAACTTAACATGATGTCATCCAGATAATGGTCTGGAGAGTCTGTGTATATGTGTGCATGCATGTGCGCTTACAAAGTGGTGTTTTAAAGTATCTGACTGTAGCCAAGTAGCTAGGTGCATAAAATCTATTGAAACTATGTTCCTCGCCGTTTTATATATTACTTAAAGGTTATATTGGAGAATAGATTAGTGCAATTAATATAAGGCAATATAGAGAATTTTGAACAGAAGTAGTAGAAGAAGAGGCATTACAAACTCAAGAAGCATGAAAAAGAAGACAACAACAATGAGGATTTTGAATACGTGTAGAGGATCCTAGTAGTCAGTAGTCGCATAGCAAAATGCCTATTTTTATCCTCCTTTTTCTTTTGTTTTCTAAATCTTATTCAAACAATCAATCGCTTCTGGTTAGATTACTTTGCGCCTCCCTATCTAAAGTGCTTTCATTTCATGGAACTGCATTGCTTAACACATGAGATGATAACCTCTTGACTTGTATTACACTGTCGCTTTACAAAGTGATGAGTTTTAATTGCACAAATATATCCTAGAGGTGAAGGCTGATAAGTTTCTTTTTTGCGGGTTCTTTTTTCTTCTTGTGTTTTACATTCGTTTCTTTATTTGTTATTTGTTTACGAGTATTAAAGTCTCTATCCTCACAAGGTAAGGGTAAGGTCTGCGTACACACTACCCTCCCCAAACCCCACGGTGTGGGATAATACTGGGTATGTTGTTGTTGTTGTTGTTGTTGTTTATGAGTATTAACTTGTTTTCTCTTGCAACAGAATGTATCGCGATGTTCAGCATATTCTTGGATGTATCAGATCATTGCCTTCAGATAGCAAATCCAGTCCTCCTAATTGGGGGCAACTTGATGAATTTGTGGCAAAAAATTTTGGCGAGGAAGTTGGCCAATAGCCTTGTAAAGTAGCCCATATTTTGTAAAGATCAAATAGGTTTGATTTGACGGAGGCCATCTGACAATGCATGAAGACTATGCATCAGCATTGTATAATTGACTTGAGGCAAGTCTGGATTTACCAAAATTTTTATATGCATCAAACTGAAGCTGCATAAACTAGTGATAATGCAAGTTTGGAAACTACTACCATTGTGTGATACAATGGAGGTATTTTTGTCTCTATTACAAACTGTACCATGAGGGTAGATAAGTCTAGCAAACTTTGTTGTGGAAAATATGTTTATGAATCTTTAGCAATCATGGATGCCATAAATTACAGAAGTTCATTGGTTGGAGGCTTCTCCCAAAAATATATTTCATTGTTCTTGTTTTTATCTTCACATGTCATCCGAGTTTTCTTGTTTTACCTTCATATGAGACCTGAATTTCGGTATGAAAGTTGCTAAGTAATATAATCTTGTACGTGTTCAATTTTCTCAAGTACTGGCATTTATAATCCCTAAAGTTAGAATGTCTAAGATCTATGTTCCTTTTCTTAAGATAAATATCATTTGGAAGTTTATCTTGTTGGTTAATCTCATATTCTTGATATTTTGCAGATGTGCAGTCTACCAGGGGGGGAATGAAGTTTTGAGGAGAGGAGTCCAAAACAATAACTTATAATTGTCATACAAAATTTTTGTGATCGACTAGATGCTTGAATTTCATTATGATTGTATTCTTTCGCCCTGGAAATTAGAAATCCTTCTTCCTTTCTTTTGTTTTATGGTTTTAGAGGAAAAAAGCATTATCTTTCCCAAAAGGGTAAGCATTTTTCTGTAGTAGATATGGTAGTGTATACTAATGAAAGCAACTGTATGTACCAATGCCTTAAACTCCAGTACCTTCTCCTGTATCAATATCAAATATCATAGAGAATGTTCTTGTTCTCGTTCTCCTTTCCTGATGAGAATAGATTGATTCTGGGCTCCTTTGTTTTCCCCTTGTTGCTCATTTATTTTGAGTTTGCTAATTGAATCCTTTTAGTAACGAGTCTTACTGGATTACATTTTAGATTGCATCAGTCTCCTCTTAAGTGTAGAGGAGATGATATCCTATTACCAGTTAGAATTTGTATAGAAGAAAATGATTCTATAAAGATTTATTGTGTTTTACAGATCTATCTCCTGTGTTATATTTTTTAGGCTCTCGTGTGAGGACCATAGAGTTCTCGCCCACTCAACTGAGGAAATGCTGGTTCCTTGTAAAGTCAATTTTTGGCTTCTGTACTGGAGAATTTTTTTTTTTTTTTTTTTTTTTTTTTTTTTTTTTTTTTGCAGCATATGGCCTATTTTGAGGCCACTCTTTATATTTTGTTCTTAAAATTTAGTAATATATCCTCCAGCTCGCATCCACTTTTTTCTCTTATAGCTTAAAAAAAAGTCTTCGTAGCTTACCCTCGTCCCCACATCACCTCTCCTAAGTTCAGAGACATTCAATTGAGCACTTCACAATTTCACATCAAATTCGCAGCTCCTCTCTTCTTTCATTCTCTTTTTCTTTTCCTTCTCTCCTTAAAATAGTGAGTTTTTCTTTTGAGGTCCTTATTAGTGTTGCACTTTGGTAAACTTAATTTCTAATGCTCCATATCAAGGGATAAGGGGTCTTTTTGGACCTTTTCTCCAAAATGAAGAGTCAAACTTTGTTTATGTTATAGTATCATGTAAAAATTACACTTTTGAAAAGTTAAAGGAGCTTGTAATCAATCTTGTATCAAATATAGCCTTATAGATTGTATAAAGCTCTTCGCTGATAAAATCCTTAGGTACAGCTCCTCAATAGGACTAAATTATGGGTCAGCCCCAAATAAGTTAGAATCGGCTATATATATATCTTTATCGATCATATTTTTTATTTAAATTCATATCAGACTAACATAAATAAAAATGACAATGAGTTGGGTCAAAAAAATATATAAATCCCATGTTGATTACCATTATAAGTTGCGACGCCATACGATTGATGGAGATTATATAAATTTGAAAACTTAAAAGGAATATGGAGTCAATCCCATATTGAATTGGGTCAAAAGTTACGACACCATACATTGGGGCCAACTCCGCAATTAATCGAAAGTTGCTTCATTCTGATACGGTCCCTGCAAATGCGGAGCAAAACCGGATTCTCAGATTGACCGGAGAAGCAAGAAAGGTACAAACAGCACATCATCAGCCATGGGTTCCGATCCTGAAAAGTTGATCGCCAAAGCCGATAAACTGTAAAAACCTCACCTACCACCTCTATGAATTCTGTATTATCTATTTATGAGTCATTTTCTTTGTATATTTTCCAAGATTCAATTCTTGTCAGATAAATTTGTTGTTATATAAACAATTTTAAGGGTGTCTGACCAAACCTGTGTAAGAGGGTGTCTCTTTCTCTGAGTTACTCGTGTAAATATGGTATAATACACTCTCACACGCTTATACAGAACATCTACATGTAATTGTCTTAACTCTTAAGCTGTCTATAAAGGGCATATTTTGTTATAATTTTAAGAATTGTTTATGAGAGTGGCAATGGAATGTGCTTACTTTTTTCCCGTCGTGTGATGTTTAAGCACTTGATTGAACTAAGAAAATTTCCATTTTCTTGATCAGATTTTGATATTCTATTAATTATTACGCCAAGTCACCAACCAGTAAAATAGTGTTCTGATCAGAGATTGGAGCATCTTGATTACTCTTTTGATCTTTATTAACGTTGATATTTTTATTTTCTGGAATAATATTTGGATTTGGGACTTGAAAGCAAAATTTTTAGTTAATGCGCTTGATCCGAGAGATTAGATGTAGTTATGGCGGTGCAAAATACCATATTCTGTTTCTTTGATGCAAAGTACAAAAAGAAGCCTTTGTATATTTAATCCTCATTTCTTTCCACGTTTTAAGTTTTATGTAATTATTTGTTCCCCTATCTGTATAGGACAAAATTAAGTTTTACCAGGTGGAGTAGCGATTGGAGAAGTGCTACTGTTTTATATGAGCAGGCAGGTATGTACGATATTCATATTCGAGTAAAACAAATGTTACATAAATTGGAACATTTTGAGCATGTTAATCACGTGACTGACACTATGTTCTTGCATTACAGCTAATGGATTTAGGGTTGCTAAAAGTTATGAGAAAGCAAAAGAAGCATTTGAGAAAGCTTCAAAAGGGCAAGAGATGCTTTCCTCGTATCCTTTTCCCCAATCGGTTTCTCTGAATTTTTCTTGTCGTTTGTCGATTGAGTCGGTTTTGAGATCCTTGACAAGTAAATCAGGCCTTGGGATGCTGCTAAACATATGGAGTCTGCTGCTACCATGGCGAAGGAACTAGGCAACTGGAAAGAAGTTGCTGACTTTTATAGAAGGGCCTCTGAGCTGTACAATGAATGTGGGAGGGCCCAACCTGCATCTGACGCGCTTGGAAAAGGTGCACGGTATGTCGCTGACTCATTTGGTTGCATTTATCTTTAATGCTATTGTCCTTTCATTATGTGCCAGATTCAGTGCACAAAATTATAAATCCACAACAAACTCATTGAATATTTCAGCTTTTATTCCATTTATTTTGTTTCCAATTTAGTGCAAAAAAGTGGGAGGTGGTTATTGTAAATTGCCTATTACCAGTTTACAACCCAAAAACTGTCCAAAAGTGCAGGGGTCTATGGCACAATCTATTTTATGCTATATCAATTACAATTTCTGAAATCGTTGATTTCTAAGTCTTATCTGATTACAGATTTAGAGATTCCCCGATCCTAGGGAACCCCTTGTTTAGCTCTGGAAAACGGAAGGATTGATATAGCAACCCTAACTAGTTCGAGATTGAGGTGTAGATTTGTTGAATCTGATTATACCATATCAGTGATTAACTAGTTTCTGTCAGTTGTTTGACTTGCATTTTTACAATTCCTTGAACAACATTCAGCCGTATTTTAAGTAATAATAATTGATAAACAAAGATACCTCTGCCTTGAATTCAAGTTAATTTAAAATATGTTTGTAGAAACCCGGAAGTGGGATTAAACATTGATTATTCCTTAGCGCATATTTTAACAATTGCTTCTGTATAATGTGCACTATATGGAATCCACATTCTGCCGGTTGCCTTATTCCAGTATATATCTTAAAGTGGTCAATCGACTTTAAATATCTCTCATTAGATGATTAGATCTTGACAGGATTTAGGAGAAAAGGCAAGCATGATATATTGCTAGACTGATCAGAATTAACAGAAGTGTTGAACTTACTCATTGCTGAATTAAAAAGGTTTCTAATGCTAATATGCAAAAAATCAATTAAAGTGATATCCATGATTAGTCTCATGATATAATTTCAATGTTGAACAGCTAAGTACCAAATTAAGCCAAGTCTTGCTTAAAACTGAACTAGAGACCAAACTCAAGAGAAGAGGTTTTGAGTTCCATTTATGTTGATCCAACCTGTTCAACTACCTGCTTACATCAAAACTTAATTCTACTTTCCAGAAGTACAGCGAAGAAAAAATGCAGGACGAAAAGTACTGAGGAGGTACAACAGAAATCTAAGCGTGAATAAAATTCAAGCATTTCACTGTTTCAGTCAAAGCTACCATTTTTTTTACATTTTAGATGTCGCGTCATGCAATTGTTATTAAAAGTTACCACTAGGTGTCTTTCCGCCCACCATTGAAGAACTCCAGAATGGCAATTGAATAAAGTCAAGAGGAAGAACAGAATAGGGTGGACTGGGCATGGGAAATACTGGAAAGTTTGAAAGGGGTTATATAAGAACAGAAGATTGAAGAGTGAAGGCCTTGTTCTCCTGTGGAGTTGGCTGATGTCTTCTAGTGGATATCCTAAGAGGGGAGTCGAGTGTTCTAGATGTGGTGGCTTCCCGGCTTTATGTGCTAGATTGATAGTTGTGAAACCATGGATAGCGTGCGGCGACAAATAGCGACGAGAGCCTGCTTCACTGAGGCGAGCAGCGAAGCGCTCGCCTTTTTGATGTGAAATTTATACAAAAAAATAAAATATTATATATATAACTAAAAATTCAATAGCAATAATATATTAATAAATATATCAATTCAAAAATTAAAAATTCAAAAATCCAAAGTGAAGCTGTGAAAAATTGAAAAACAAAAAACAGAGCAGAAAAAAGAAAGAAGAAGAGAAGAAGTACTGAAGAAGCTCTCTGAACTGAAGAAAAAACAGAGCTCTTCTCAGACTATTCTGTTGAGTGCAGCAGCAGTGATAAAAAACAGAGCCCAAAACAAAAAGAAAGAAGAAGAGAAGAAGAAGAAGAAGAAAAATGAAGAAAAAACAGAGCAACACAGACTCTGTTCTGTTGCAGCAGCAGTGATAAAAAACAGAGCCAAAAAAAAAAAAAAGAAGAAGAGAAGAAGAAGAAGAAGAAAAATGAAGAAAAAACAGAGCAACACAGACTCTGTTCTGTTGCAGCAGCAGTGATAAAAAACAGAGCCCAAAACAAAAAGAAAGAAGAAGAGAAGAAGAAGAAGAAAGAAAAAAATTGGACAGAGTCACAGAACAGAAACTCAAAGAAAGAAGAAAGGAGAAGAAGAAAGGAGAAAAGAGATGAAGAGAAGCACACCTGATGAAGAAACTTGAAGAAGAAAGGAAATCGCTGGTCTGCTGTAGGTCTGCTGTCGACTTGAAGGAGAAAGAGTAAAGAAATCGCGAGCCCTAATTTTTTGTTTTAACAGATCGCTGCTGCTGCCTTCTTCTTTTCTTTTTTGCAAAAAAGCGACGCTACAGCTCGCCACACGCTACAGAGGCAGAGGCACTCCCCACTTTGAAAACGCTACGCCACACTGTAAAATAGCGATGGCAGCTCGCATCGCCTCGCCTCACGCTATTTACAACACTGTGTGAAACAAAGAAATGGGAAAAAGCGGATAATCACTGGCACAATCCGACTATGCCAGTTTTGTGTTTGGCATAAGTCTAAATTCTGTGCCTAACTGGCCCTGTTTCTGTTTCTCTTACTAACCTGTTCAATGGGAAACTCTGGTTAGGGAGGGGGTAGTTTTGGTGGATCTAACAGTTTTCTATAATATCCAGTTCTAACTGTAGATTCCTTTTATATGTTTGATACTTTTTCCTTTTGCCTGAGATTGAAACAATGTGTCGTATCTGATAAAAGGTTGTTAATGTTATAGTGCTTTAGAAGATGGTGCACCTGATGAAGCTGTTCAGTTGTATATTGAAGCCTGTGACATGCTTGAAGAGGATGGGAAGGAACAAATGGCCTTTGATCTATATCGTGATGCTACAAGGGTTTATCTGAAGCTTGAAAAGTAAGAATTACATTTAAGGCAGATATTACTTTTAGAATTTAGAAGTTGTATCTAAATGTGTATTAATCTAATGTATCTTTTGACCTCTTTCTTTTTGTTTCTTTTTTTACCTTCTAAATATAAAAATATTCATACCTTGTTGAGCTAAAAGGTCGGAACCAAGTTGGGAGCGACTGTGACTTTCTATATATCGGAATTTTGTTAAGTTTTAGGTCTTCCCATTGTAGACCTAAAAAAAGAGCTCACATCTTTAAATCTATTAACTTTTAAGTGGACCAATTTGCACCATTTCTCCCTCCTTTTCTTCTCTCTCCCCTTTCTTTCTTTTTCTAATTTCTTTTCTTCTTCTTCCTCTTTTTCTTCTTCTGAGCTGAGGGTCTATTGGAAACAGCCTCTCTACCTTCACTAGGTAGGGGTAACGTCTGCGTATACACTACCCTCCCCAGACCCCACCTATGGGAATATACTAGGTTTGTTGTTGTTTTAATTTGCACAACTCAATAATATATCTTTTAGAGGTCCTGGTTTTCAGCCTCAGATACCACGTACTATCAAAAAAATATTCATGTGTTTGGTCTAGGAATAAGCATCAGACCCACACGTGAGGGACGCTATACAAAACCTAAAGAAAATAAATAAAAGTGACTCATTTCTAACAGTCTAAGTTTTAATTGAAGCGGTTCACACAGATTCTACCTTTAGTAAGTGATGATGACTTTGAACTCACCACATGCAGGTATGAAGACGCTGCAGGTATCCTATTAAGGTTGGCATTAGCTGCTGATAAGTGCAACGCAACACATAGCCAGTGCAAGGTTGGAAAGCCCTTTAGTCACATTTTCATTTACTGAACACTACTTTGTAGTGGTAAGCACCATCCACTTCCAACCAAGAGGTTGTGAGTTCGAGTCACCCCAAGAACAAGGTGGGGAGTTCTT